TCAAGAAGGCAGGCAGGCGAGCAGGTGGGAGCCAGCAGTCCTAGATTGTGAGAGGGATGTCGGACTACCCATTTAAACAGACAGTCAAATGTCCCTCGAGGGATCCCAGATTGGAGAGGGTGAAGTTGGGCTGAGGACCATCCCCTCCTCCAGTGCATGAATTTCATGCACTGCGCCTCTAGTACTGTATAATAAAAGGCTAATATGAAAATTGTCCCCTCAACCAGGAGTTTGACCAGCAGGCAGGATGACCAACTGCCCATGTCCCCTCCTCCTGGCCAGGCTGGCCGGACCCCACCCATGCACAAATTCATGCACTGGGCCTCTAATATATATATATACACACATACACATACACATAGACACTGAGTGGCCAGATTATTATGCATTCAGAGATCACAATAATCTTGCCACTCAGTGTATATACTCTTCAATAGCTAATAGTTCAATTTTGAAAATGAAATTCTTTTTAATAAACACTACCTTCATAATTATTCAAATGATGAGTGAACATTTTTGGGGGACACACTGTATTTGGTAGTCATTTCATTTCACGACCTCCTGTCACAACTAAAGAGAAATTTGGGTGTCACTGTATAGTAAGAGGAAGGCATGGATCATTAACCCCAGTTCTCAAACTCTGCCCACATGTAAGAGTGAGGCTGAAAACTGGAAGTACTTCAATATTTGTTTTTCTGCAGCAATTCACAAGTAGGTATTAGTAGAAGCTGTCACATGTTAAAGTAAGTGCACATTCAAAAATAGATATGCTATAGCATGATCCAATCCTCCAGAAATTATTAAAGTTATTTCATATTAGAAAATCAGTGGTAGAGAGGTGCTAGTCAATAGAATTGATTAAGTTGGTGACATAATTATGCTGTCAAAGACACAAATTATTTTTATCTTTTTTTTTCTATTCTCATCATATTGGCTTTATTCCTTAGATTTGCCTCTTCATTGATACAATTATCACATTATTTTTGTACATATCAAAGTTCAAAATCTGAAGACAGCATGTCCCTTCTCTGTGTCTCTGTTTTAAGAATGAAGAACATTTCTTAGGATTTTACAACAGGCTTATTTTTTTTTATTGGTCAGATCTTTATAATTTTCTCTTTCGTAAAACATGGGTCCACCTATCCATATAAGTTAGGCTTTCCAGCTAACTGAGACAATTTTGTTGCAGAGGTCAGAAAAGAACTGGAAATTTGCATCCCTACTAGACCTCTGAGATTATGGTGTGTGTGTGTTTTTCATAACGCTAAATTATTATTCTCCCTTCAATAGTTGCCTATAGTCTTTTGCAGGTGACTGCTTCTTCCTATGAAACAAAGCACTGAATTTGTGTATGTGGGTATAGTATGCATAAGTCATATGCGCTGCTTTAACAAAATTCTCACTTACTGGAACTTTTACAGGTAACTTGTTACCTTTGTAGGTTTACTGTTATTTGTATGGAGAATAAGACATACAAGAATAAACTGTGCTTCACATACAACCGTAAACTACTTTTGCCCCACCCTATATTATCAGTAATGCTTTCTGTTGGCAAAGCAAGTAAATTAGACTGTTGTGCATTTGGAGCAGGCGGCAATTTATGTTGGTTTAATATATATAATTAAATTGAGTTGAGATCTACATTAAGTGAAAATTGAAAACAAATTAAGTAATCAGTCAATGCAGTGTTAGTAGTTACAATTCTTATTTATTTGGGTAAATTGAGGGGGGGAAGCTGTTCAGCATTGTAGGCATTTTATTTTAATCAAGGGAAACCAGAAGTAGTGAGCTGGCAACATTTAACATGGACTGTGGAATATGGCAGAATGATTATTTGTGCCTACATTTGTCTGATCCCTACATCTGTTCCCAAAGATCAAGTTTAATCATGGCATATTAGTATCCACTTATGTTGGGATAGGCAACCTCAAGTTTAGCTAATAAAATTCACTTGCAGCTTTTAAATTTCTCTTATTAACCATGCGTAGAACCTTTTAATTTGACATTTGAAAACATTTGTATTAGTAGTAATTTTTTTTAAGATTCCAGGTTACAAAATTGGACATTTATAAAGTGAATGTGTGTCTTTTCCTCTCTTATTACAAATGATTTCCTTAATTTTATGAATTGGGGATGGCTGCCGGTGACTTACTTCCATCAAAATGATGATGTGGAGAGAAAAAAGGATTGATGTGTTATATTTAGTTAGATTTATTTTTATTTATACTTAGATTTATTAGTGCTGATTTGGGTTTTGTATTCAGGCAAATGAGTGCATATGAGTCATCTGAATATTCTTGGTCCTCTGGTTAAAGTCTAAATTCAACCATTGCAAGGATATGATATTTTATGATGTTTAAACGCTACACCACATTTTTTTTTCAGAGTTAACTACATTGATTTAGATTTTCATGGTAGTTCTCATTCAAGTTTGATAGAAATATCACATCTTGCTATAAATTACATCCTGTTTAACACAGCAGTGAAATTTTGATGAGCTATGAATTAATTTTCTTTCTCCCTTATCTCTTAAAATTATTTTTTATCTTTTAAAGAAGCCTCAGACTTTCTAGTATCTTTCTCACCTATTTTTGGTTCAACTGTATTAAAAATTCAATTAAGTGGGCATGGGGAATATCAGCCAAATTTGTTCACTGGGATTTAATTTCTTCTCTCATTAATTTGCTAGGTATATTTTTTTCAACTTGTAGATGCTGAAATTATTTATTTAGTACACATAACTTTTAGGACACTTGGTTGCAAGTGATAGAAATGCTACTTAAAGTGTTTCAGCATAGCAAGATTTACTAGCTTACATAATGGCACAGCCTTGGGAATTCCTGCTTCAGCCATAGTTCTATCCAGTGGCTCAAACAGGCTCAAGAGTAATCTTTGTCTTCAACTCTCCGCATTTCTTTCCTTTGTGTTCCCTTCTTTTCCTGACAAACTTCTTCCTTCTTGTAGCCATAAGCACCAGCCAGCAAACATACATGCTGGAAACTACAAGTCCAACAAAACAAAGATTTTTAATCTGTACAATCTCAGTAAAAAACAAACAAACAAATATGAAATTAAATCCTGTGCCATCCCAAGGCAATCCTGCCCCTGACCCAGGCTCTGGGAGGAGAATGTGTCAAGAGGTGGATGAAATGTGGTCCCTAGAGAATGCCCAGCAACAGCATCTGAGATTTTGATGCAAATACACATCCTCAGGCCTCATCCCATACCCAGGGCATCAGAAAACTAGAAGGTAGGGCCAGCATCCTGGGATGTAATAAGCCCTCCAGTGGGTCTGATGCACACTTAGGCGCGGGACCCGCCGCAGTCTACTCACTGGCCACACTGTCCTGTGTGCTGCCCCCGGAGCTTCAGTGTGATTCCACAGAAAACACAGAGAGAACTCTGAGAAAGTGGCCGCAGGAAAGCAGAACAGTAGCTGCCAATTCTGGCAAAGCCGGACGGTATCCACCACCATGAATGCCAGCCCAACAGTAAAACATTGTGTTGCTAATGCCATTATTTCTCTGAACACTGTTGATTATGGATTCCCTTCCAGAAAAATCAATATTCTCATTAAGCAAACACTTGTCTATCCTCTTCTAAGTAGGAGTGTTTTTGTTTAATTTTCATCTCCAAAAAGGTACATGGCCAACCTTAAAAGGATTCCAGACCGTTATTATTTTCTGATCAAATGCTTCCTGACCTCTTAGGATATCCTCCTCTAGAATTAACGCTCTCAGAGTGAGCCTTTTAGCTCCTGGGGGAAAATGAAACAACAGGCTGTCTCTGCTTCACAAGTTCTCAATGGAAATGGCAGTGATGCCACAGGATGTAAAATAATCTTAAAACAATTTTAAAGCACCTAATAAGGGAGATGAAGGTAGCCTTTTATATTATTTCAGAGGGAGAGAGAGAGCACGAGAGCGAGCGCTGTAGTTTGAGACATTTGAATTTATCCTGAAGAAGGCTATAGAGAGCATGTGGGTATTTCTCAATTTATCTCATCATAGCACTCAACAGGGCGCTTGTTAAAAGTAAAAATCCGCCAAAACCGGTTTGGCTCAGTGGTAGAGCATCGGTCTGCAGACTGAAAGGTCCCAGGTTCCATTCCGGTCAAGGGCATGTACATTGGTTGCGAGCACATCCCTGGTAGGGGGTGTGCAAGAGGCAGCTGGTCGATGTTTCTCTCTCATAGATGTTTCTAGCTCTCTATTCCTCTCTCCTCCTCCTCTGAAAAAATCAATAAAATAGATTTTTTTAAAAAAAGTAAAGATGCACAAAAAACAATGATACATCTACACAATGGAATACTATGCTGCCATAAAAAAGAAGGGATTCTTATCATTTGCAGCAACCTGGATGGAATTGGAGAACATCATGCTGAGTGAAATATGCCAGTCAATGAAAGAGAAACACCATATGACCTCACTCATTTATGGATGATAAAGAACATTAAAAACTGATGAACCAAAGGTAGATATAGAGACAATAAAGCAACAAGCAGACTGTCAAATTATAGCGGGGAGGGGAGGGAGATCTGGGGGAGATAAGAGAGCAACCGAAGGACTTGTATACATGCATATAAGTACAACCAATGGGCACAAAATTCTGGGGAGGGAGGGCATGTATGGGAGGAGGGCCAATGGTAAGATATGTACACAGATAATTAAAAATAAAAAGTAAAGATCTAAAGGCTCTTGTTCGGGATATTCTTATTTGGGACATCAGGGGTGGGAACAAGGAATTTATATTTTTAAAAGTTGCCACAGGAATTTCTTAGAATCAAGTGTGTTTGGAACAGACTCTAAGCCTACGTGAATGGTGAGGATGTTGCAATGGATTGGGAGGGAGACACATCTCGGTTTTGGACCCTACAACCAGAGGAGTATACATGACCTCATCCCGTGGTCCAATGCTTCTCTTAGGACTGTGTGCTGCTATGATCCTTTCTCTTTTCTCTCGAATAACACGCTGTTGCATTCTTATTCCTCGTGCTGCAGATCGAGGACATGCAGTGGGGCAAAGGGGTCCGGGAGATCCCCCACTCTGTGTGCACCCTGCCCTGCAAGCCTGGCCAGAGGAAGAAGACGCAGAAGGGCACGCCCTGCTGCTGGACCTGCGAGCCCTGCGACGGCTACCAGTTCCAGTTCGACGAGAACACGTGCCAGCACTGCCCGTACGACCAGCGGCCCAACGAGAACCGGACCGGCTGCCAGGACATCCCCATCATCAAGCTGGAGTGGCACTCGCCCTGGGCCGTGATCCCCGTCTTCCTGGCCATGCTGGGCATCGTCGCCACCATCTTCGTCATGGCCACGTTCATCCGCTACAACGACACGCCCATTGTCCGGGCGTCCGGCCGGGAGCTCAGCTACGTTCTGCTGACGGGCATCTTCCTCTGCTACATCATCACGTTCCTGATGATCGCCAAGCCCGACGTGGCGGTGTGCTCCTTCCGGAGGGTGTTCCTGGGCCTGGGGATGTGCATCAGTTACGCGGCCCTCCTGACCAAGACCAACCGGATTTACCGCATATTCGAGCAGGGCAAGAAGTCCGTGACGGCTCCCAGGCTCATCAGCCCGTCGTCGCAGCTGGCCATCACTTCGAGCCTGATATCGGTCCAGCTTCTGGGCGTCTTCATCTGGTTTGGTGTGGACCCGCCCAACATCATCGTAGACTATGACGAGCATAAGACCATGAACCCCGAGCTGGCCAGGGGAGTGCTCAAATGTGACATCACAGACCTGCAGATCATTTGCTCCTTGGGATATAGCATCCTCCTCATGGTCACGTGTACTGTGTACGCCATCAAGACTCGGGGTGTCCCCGAGAACTTTAACGAAGCCAAGCCCATTGGGTTCACGATGTACACGACGTGTATAGTGTGGCTTGCCTTCATCCCCATTTTTTTTGGCACCGCGCAGTCGGCGGAAAAGGTAAGTGAGAATGCACCCTACACCATGCATTTCAGATGTGTTCCTTTTTGTAAACATGGAAACCAAGTTAATTGTATAGAGCAAGTGGTTTTATAGATGCAGAATGGTATTCCTCAGAGTAGAGAATTCCAAAATGGAGCAGCATCAAAGCTACAAAAGTCTATAAGCTACAGGGAACTTTGCTATGTTTATGCAATCAGTGGTAGACTTTTCCAGTTACTTCATTACAGAATTACTCAATGTAGCAAGAGATGATCCAGCATGAAATGATCGAATCTACCCAAATTAAACCTTCCTATAATTAATTATCCATTCTCTCTATTTACACACATATTTCTGAGGGACAGGAGAAGCGGGGGGGTGGGGGGGGAGGCACAGTTCCTCATACTCCAGGATAAGGATGGTCATTCTTAGCTCACTCGCTCGCTCTCTTCAGTAGCTCTTTAGGTTGTCACTGTGAATTGGATCTAGTACGTGAGCTGTACAAACTATTAGAGTTCTTAATTGCATGTTTGTAAGTATATATATTATCATATACCTCTTAACTGTGGGGATACATTCTGAGATGTGTGTTTTGTGTTGTTAGGTATATTAATCATATCAAGTGCTTCAGAGTGATACCAGATACTCAAATTTGTGTGTGCATGTGAGCACGCACACACACACACACACACACACACACACACACACACACACTAGACTAAGTATCTTCAAACTGTAAAAGTTCAGAGTTTTCAAAATTAGTGGGCCCTATATGTTGGTCTTAAATATGGTCATGCACATGATCCCCACCTATAAGTTTTTATGCATCTGAAAATTAGGCAGCCCTAATGTGTTGATTCTTAGTTCAATTCATGTATGACTAGCTGCAGGTTTGGCATCTTGCAAAAATGGCAACACTAAAGTGAAGCTTTTGGGTGTATGTGATTCGTATATCTGATATCTATACCCACCCCCATCTGGCTGTAATTTTGTTTATGCAAATTGGGCAATTTGAATATATCGATCTTAAGATGTGGTGGTGTCCTTCCCTTGGTGAAGGCAGTCTGACATGTTGCTACAGCTGAAGCCAGAACTAGATCTAGAGTCCTCACTTGAACATTCTGTAGGAGAAAGCATAGTTACAGTTTGATCTAAGCGAGGAGGTTGGGGGTCCAGCCTGATCCCATGTTACTTTGGAGAAGTCTCTTAAACATTCAGGGACGTAGTTCCTTCTGTGGGGCAAACAAAGAGTGAAATAGGATTGACTACAAATTTCTTAATCTATCAGTTGAATCTGATTTTTTAAATTTTTACTTATGATCTCTGTTTCATTGTGTAAAGGATATATGGTATTTTTCTGGTTTTCCAATTAAAAATGTGTTTTACCTATATTTTGATTCAAAAAACTATAAGTTTAGACTGTATTTTTTAAAGTCAACATTTTATGAAACCACACAGAATTCTAAGCTAAGGACAGTGAATGGTTCCAGATTATGGTTTTAGTCATAAAATGTCTCCAAGGAAGATCTTCTAAAATATATGCTCAATGAGCATAATATGTATCTGATGGTATGTTTCAAATTCATAATGCATGTTTACTGTCTGTGAAACCAACTTGATTTTCATTTTATTGCTTCTACCTATCCATGAGCCAAAGGGGTAGTAAAATAGGAGTTAGCGTAGTGAAATGCAATAGAGAGAAGAAGGAAAAAATGTCTCCAAATGTATGCAGGTAAGTCCATGACCATTGAACTTTTATGGGGCATAATGTACACATCCAAGCCTGTGGAGATAATGATCTTTTTTTTATGAAAACAAACACAATTCCCCATGCACGAGGTTAGGAAACATTAAATCCTTTTCTTAAAAAATTATTCTTGAGGAATATAAAAGGGAGGAATAACTGTGATTGTTTTATAGAAGAACCTTTTTGTAATGCATGTTTGACGATCTATGTCTCTACCATGTCATTTGTCATTTCTATCCATTTGCAGTCATCACTATGAATCTTTTTAGGAAGGTTAGGGGGTATAATTTACTCATTAAAACACCTATAAATGATACAAAATTTTAGGAATTGAATTAATTGATTCTGGTTGTTCTGGTATCACTGAGCTGTAGGAAAAAAAATGAAGCTTTCTTCAAGCAATGAGCTTTTTAATTCTAAAGTTTAGATGGCACATATTCGTCTTTGTATGCCCTCAGTGGGTCATGGTGTTCTACATGGTTGATTGGCACAAATTCAAAAGGTATTGAATTATCAAATGGGAATAGTGAATTGTTAATTGTTATATGAAAATGCACACCTCAATAATAGGCATATGACTAGATCAATTAAAAATACAGTGTGTATACAACAAAAAATATATATACACTTTAGAGCTCAATTAAAAAATGAAATATGTTTTAATAAACACTTTCCTTATAATTATTCAAAGTGTATATATACCTTTTGGGGGACACCCTATATGTAATGGACATAAAACCATGGACATTAAATTGTGGAAGGTGACAAATTGCCAAATGCCACAAAAAGGTCACAACAAAAGGCATTCTTAGCAAGCTAACAAACATACAGAATCACAACCCCTTTTTTTTTTGTTTAGGTTTAACAGTTTTGTTTCAAATTGAAAAAATTCATTTTAATGGGAAACAATTAGGCAGTGAATTTAGTAATAACTATTTACTGTTTTAGGAAATTTAATTTATTTTGATTATGTTATGTATATCTTTGTGAAATTTCTCATCAGTTGAGTTTATTAGCTCAGCGTAAAGTACGAGGAATGTTCCTTATTTCTTGCAAAACATCATCCTCCATGGATTATTTTTCCTCTTGTTAAGAAAGATGCTGTCTTGTTTATTTTTCGTTGCTAATCCTGTGCCCTCTAGGATGAGTATCTTGCAAACATGGCCATGGAGGGAAGATGTAAGCCTTCTGTATCATAAAAGAATGATTCGTGCTTGTAGAATTTATATTTAGGTGACTAATGATTCTTGGGAAGATCACCAGTGGTAGGGCGGTAGCACAGTAGGAGCAGGTTGGTTTAGTGAGCTGTGGTATATCCCATTGTTATATAGTGACACTGTTTGTTGGAGGACTAGATTATTTTTCCATGAGAAACAAAGGCTTGGCTTGTGGATACATCTTTCAGAGAGTTTTGCATGTCACCTGGAAAAGAAGCACCTTCAGGTAGGAAGGACTCAGGCCACTCAGCCCAAACCTAGGCACCCTACAGACACCCTAAACCTACTGTTTATTCAGAACTTTCCAGGTTCTTTTTTTATTATTATTATTATGAAAATCACATTTCTTCTTTTGTCAGTGCATCAGAGACCACCTATTATTTTAAGAAAGAACTTTTCTCAAAGCACTAGAAATCTTGTCCTAGGAGCTGGCCTGTCCTCCCCATCATTCTATATATTTGAATGTGTCATCCTCCTGGGTTCTTTGATTTTGATTGTGATGGCTTCACAGATATATATGTAAATGTTTCAAGCAAGGTCACCTTCCTCTGGGGAAGAGAGCAGTTTATAAGATGGATTACCTTACTAGTATTGACTAGTATAGACTGACTCCATAAGATTACATTCCTGGGAGATGTTGAAACAGCTATTAAGTTAGATATTAAATCTCAGTTTGGTGATGTGGGCTTAGCACAGGTGACTCCATTTTAAGCCTGTTGCCTTTTTTTTTTTTTTTTTTTTTTTTTTTTAAACAAAGTGTACATCAATAAAACCATGAAAAAATGCTTTGCACAGAATCGCCCCCCCGCCCCTTTTTTTTTCTTCTCTTTCTCCTTTCTCTTGAAGTGTTGATATACCTGTTGGCCTATTTGCATAGTTTGTTCAAAAACTAGAAATTGCATCTATAATAAAACTAGAATTGTATAAATGAATTAGAGTATAAAGAAGGCTCCAGACACTCTCTGGTACTTGGTAAAGGCTCAACAAAGAACTATATCCTTCCACAGTAGTCTCCCCTTAGCAAAACATTTCTGTCCCGCATAGGTAAAACAGTCTTGTATTTGGGAAATCATAAGTATGGGCTATAATATAGATTAGGGGATGACAAGATCAAACTCTGGAGAGGTGGGTAGAGGTGAAATCTTGGAGGACCCTGTATACTTGACTATTTTAGGTAAGGGAGGAGTGTGCTTCAGTGAGTTGACAGTGAAGTATGACACTATTGGAGTTATGCTTTACAAAATGATTCATTGCTTATGAGTAACAGTTTGCATGATAGCTATAATATTGTGATTTATAATATACTAGAGGCCCAGTGCATGACATTCATGCATTGGAGACAGGGTCCCTCAGCCAAGCATACACCCTCTCGGAGATGTCCGCCTGCCAGCATAAGCCTGCTCTCCACAAGAGTGCTGCTCAGCCAGAAACCAGGCTCACTGCTCCTTAATGCTACCTTGGGGAGAGGCTCCCACCATCACCGCTGTGCTCTTAAGCCATGAGCCTGGTTTCTGGCTGAGTGGCGCTTCCCCTGAGGGAGTGCAATGACCACCAGGGGGCAGCTCATGCATTGTCTGCCCCCTGGTGGTCAGTACACGTCATAGTGACCAGTTGTTTTGCTGTTTGGTTGATTTGCATATTAGCCTTTTATTATATAGGATTTTTAAAAAATGTATGTTGTTTTTTTATTTCAGAGAGGAAGGGAGAAAGAGAGAGAAACATCAATGATGAGATAGAATCATTGGTTAGCTACTTCTTGCATGACCCTTACTGGGGGAGGGGGGGATCTAGTCCTCAACCCAGACATGTGCCTTTGGCCAGAATTGAACCTGGGACCCTTTAGTCCGCAGGCCAATGCTCTATCCACTGAGCAAAACTGGCTAGGGCATATGATATTTTTATTCATAATATGAAATATATATGTTTGGTCTTTGTTTTCTGTCACAGGGCTTCTGTAAACTTTGGAAATTTTTAAGTGATGAGTAATAAAGGTGTGTTTTGTTATGTTAATGAGATGACTTTTGGACTACACCTATGAATGAGGGCTTGTTGAT